TCTCTCTCTCTCTCTCTCTCTCTCTCTCTCTCTCTCTCTCTCTCTCTCTCTCTCCCGCGCTCTTTCTCTCTCCCCCTCTCCCCTCATCTTCCTCCGTTCCTTCAAAATTCCTTAACCCCTAAAGCCTTCCGTCACCCCTTCCCCTCCATGGCATGTGACTAACTTCTATCCTCACCGTTACATTGTCAGGGAACGAACGGAAAGGAACTTGATCCTCACTTGGTGGAAAGCGAGGGCAAGGGAAGGGCTGCCGGTCCCTTGTGCCACCAAGAAGGAGAGGATACGCGACTATTGAGGACGTTGGTGAAAGCAAAAAGGAGTGTTGTTTTGGACAAGGTCAGTCGACTCAACCACCTCCGCGACTGCATGCCTGAGTAAAAAGAGTGTGGTTTGACTGTGAGGAACGAAGGAAGGCACCCAAAAGCATGGAAAAAGAAAGGGAAGACTTGGACTTGCATGATGGGCGGTGTGTTCACTGTGTTGAGCCCATCGGGGACAGACGCATGCCATTGTCATGTTTACTTGGATGTGTTGCAGGTAAGTGGCTTGGACGATCTGGCAATGAGGGGATTGTGCAACATGGGACCGCAATGAGGAGAAGGGGGTTTGAATCTCGAACGGCCGGGATGGACTTTGGGCTTTGACGATTGCATGACTAGCGCGACCTGAAAAGACTAAGGGTCAGGGATGGGGTTTGAGCCTGACTTTGCCGTGATGTGTGGTTGTGGCTGGGTCGCGAGTTTGGTAGGACCGCCTGGAAGGACTAAGGGCGGTCACGAGACCTGGGAGATGTATGTGTAGGCCGACTAGAGGAACGATAGGGGCTAGGGGCAAAGGGACGAGCCGCCCCGATGATGCTATAGGAAATTAGGGCCGTTAGTGAAGGAGTGCGTGGCCTAAGGAGAACGCTTAGCCTACGCATTGTAAAGAAGAGAAAGCTCTCAATGAACCTCCCTGGACTGCCTGAGTATTGGAAGGAGCCATTGCCTGGTAAGACAAACAGAGAATCGAGAACCTTACGCTTGCGGATCTAGACCAATGAGGCTACCACCCGGCTAGAGGGCTGAGCTACATCCCCAATGTTAAGCTCTCTCGCCCTATTGGCCCAAACCCATCCATCTCATAGCACTAGGTGGGGGTGCCCCTGGGGCGAACGACCCGCGCCCTGAGAAAGAGCGTGGGCGGGTCGAGCCAAGTGGGACCCGCAGTGGGGTCGACCAAGGCTTGAAAGTCCTTCAGGGTACGGCCCCGACAAAATGGTGGAGGCGCCGGGTAGGGGTTAAATCGACCCATACGATCTCGAGGGGGGCGCCCGATGCATGACCGAGACACAAACGTAAAGATAAGAAATATGGACTTGTATATGCTCTATCCTTTGAGGGAATCAGATTTGAGGGTGGCTGGGCGCAAGGCAAGGCCAGGCCCGGAGGAAGAACATGCATGTTTGCACTTTACTCAGCCATCTTCTTTGGAGATGACTCTAGTCCTCCTTCCCTTGGACTGATGTTCGTCATGCCGGGGAAGCCTTGGGCAAGCCGCAGGTCGATCCTTCCTCTTCGTGTGAAAGAAGGGCTCCGGTTACCTGGCAGGCGGTTGGGATTTCGACCAATCCGGGTTCCAATGAAAATCCCACGGCGGAGTGATCCGACCGACCTGGGTGCTTCTCTACTTCTCTTCGGAGCCCAGCTCCGTGCACCGCACTTAAATGCTTGAAGGAACCTTATATGAACACAAACGGTAATCGAGAAGGAACAATCCTGCCCTATGAACGGACACACAAGAGAAGATGAAGGAAATGAAGGGAGTTGCTAGACTCCAGGGAAAAACGAGCTCCCCTTTGAAAATGCTCACAAAAAGGAACCGGGCACTATGTATGGAAAGTAGGGGTGAGTGGCACATGCTGTCCTAAGAGAAAAATTTGTGAGTTATGGGTAGGAAGTGCTGGGTGCACCAGGGGAAAGGCACTTATGTTATGTGTGTCCCACTTGGGGCTTGTGATTGCATGATTGGGATTTTGAGCGTCCTGCCATTCGAAAGGAAAGGATTGCTTTGCGCCGGCCGGTGCGGGATACAAACTGAAGTTCACCGGGTTCCATGTGTGGGGGTCGGGCCACCGGACTGTCAGGCAAGGGTTGGTCTCGTCGGCTGATTAGTAGCATTCTCACCCGAGCGGTCCGAGCATGGCTCGATGACCTTGCCCAGGCGGGATGTGAAACCTCTTCAGGCGGAGCGGCTGCTTGTCGGCAGACGGCAGGGGGACCACTTCATATGGGGCAAGGAAGGAGTCTCGGAGGCGATTAAGAGTTTCTCGTAGCATGGCTTGGGAAAAGTTGTTCCTTATCGGACCGATGGAAGTGAATGCCTGGACGGCTGGCTCGAATGGCCCTACCGAGATGTGCGGGGTGATTCCCGAGATTAACGGTGGGTACACGAGCGGCAAGTCGGGATGGGGTATTCTGGGTAAGGAGGAAAGGGCGAATGCCTTGCCRAGACCTGGGTACCGCGCTCGCGACGGTTGAGCTGTGCTGGAGGTWTGGGYTGAAAACCCTGCCGATAGTAACAGTGGAGAGACCATTTCTGGGAAAAAGGTCGGTGAGGAGATGACCGACCTGTGTGCGACGTTTGCCTGGTTTTGCTTTTTGTGTGTCCCTCTGTAAAGTTGCCTGATGAATGTTGGAAGGGGACCGAGCTTCTAAGTCTATTCTCACCTCCAAGTCTGAGTCCGCACGAGAGAGAGAACATGAGGAAGAGGTTGGATAGGAGTCGGAAGAAAGTGGAACCAAGAAAAAGGAATGCGAGCCACGGGTGATCGATTGGGGGGACTGGTTAGGGATGTGGCGCTGACTGATATGCTTGGAGGATGGGTAGAGAACTTTAGGGAGACCTTGATGAGGGGTCTCTAAAACAACGCTCATCTAGGATAATGGTGGACCTAACCCGAGGGCCGATTGGTGCGCTCATTGGACGAAACAGGTCTTGACCACCGGTATAAAGAAGGCAGGATGGCGCAGTGGCTGGCGTCGCCAACCTACTCAGATGGACCAGAGATGCCAATAGATGTGAAGGGTGGGGTATCGGTCGTAATGCCAGAGGAAGGAACGTGGACGGACCTGGAGCCAGCCTATCAAACCGTAATGCTGGCCGAAAGTGATGCTTTCCTATGGATTGAAACGATGTGGAGTAAGGTAACCTTGACTAGGATAACGTCGTGCCTATTGGACTTAGAGTTCCGGGGGACCGTGGAAGCCCGGGGATGGATCTACCTGTCAAAGGAGAGGGAGACTGCGATGGTTGTCGAACTCGCCTTGGGGAAACTTCTGTACAAACTGTCCAGGGAAGCCGAGTGGGAAGTAGTGTGGGCCGTGTGCCAACGAGTGGAAATGACGATGGAATCGATTGATGTGCGGGTAGAACTTGGGGATAGGGAAAACGTGCAGAAGCCGTACAGGGCCCTAAGGTGTGTCATGCCGCCCTTCATGGTAGACACCGTCTTTGGAACCCGGAGTAGGTTGGTGCGAATATGCAGGGCCATCGCAGGGTTGGGGTTGCACTAGGGAACCCGCCAGGATTTCTTCCGGCTGTCGGTCGAAATGGGACCCTTCGAGGGAAACTGGGCAAGGGAACTGGCCGAGATCTTAAACCATCTCAGCACAGACGGCCTGTTCGTCCCAAGCGACGTGCACTGGCGGATAGTTTACAGGAATGTTGCGGTAGGGGAAATCTTTCTGGAGGGTGTACGGGACCTGTGGCCTGAAGAGAATGAAGATGACTCCGAGGAGGAGGACGAGATGGAAATCGAGGAATGGGATTTCCAGGGAAAAGGGGGCTGAGGACGGAGTGGTTGGGTCGTGTGGGGGTGTGCAAGGAATCAAGGATGGCAAGGGAGCAAAGCCTGTGGGCGCGGATGTTTAGAGGATGGACACCTAGGAGGGTTGAGGGCGGGGTAGAGATGGTCTTGCCAACAAGGAACGAGTGGCGCGGCGCGGCCTGCGACTGGGTGAGAGTAGATATGGTACCGACTATGTTCTTTCTGTGGGTAGAACGGGTGTGGGATCCGGTTCGAGAAAATGAGGCGTGGGATGAAATAGCCGAGGGGAACGTGGAAGCACTTGGGACGGTGTGCCTTTCGAAGAATGGGTGGTATATGTTTTGCACGCACGTAGCGGCGGGACGAGACCCGATGTGGACTTTAGAGGATGCCGAGTGGTTAACTTGGGCAATGGGGCAGGATTTTGCAAATGAGGGGTGGGATGAAGTGGGAAGCAGGGTCATGATGGGGGGATGGGAGGACCTTAGGCTCCCCTACCAGTTAGTCCAGGTGAGGGTGCCGCATTTTGTTGCAGACTGGTTCGGAGGGTACAAACATATCCGCGCCGTAGCGGAATCCATGGACGAGGTAGAGATAGGCTTCGCCTGGTTATCAGACGCTTATTACGAGGCGTCATTGCGATTCGGGCCGTTTCACGGGGACCAGGCTGAGGAAGTGGTCGAGATCCTGAAGGAACTTAAGGACTACCGACTTGAGGTAGGAGAGGAAGTCGAGGAGGCGATACTCCGTTGGGAAATAGCCGCAGCGCCCTAGTATGTAGGGGATGTCTTCTTGTTGTTTGAGGTCCTATGGATTTGAGTACGGACCTGGGAAGACAGGGGAATAGGGGGATTGACTGGGAAAAGAAAGGGCATTGTACATTAAAAGAAGGGGTAGTGTACACAAGAGGGGGGGGGG